GTATCGTTTATGTAAACTCTTATGTACGTAACAAAGGTAATGCTAGAAGCGGCACAGAATTACGAAAAGGACAGCAGCTGCAACTACCCAAACAACTTAATGAGTGAGGGGAATTAGTTTAGATTAATAATGAAAGATGGCACATTACACTGCCCGGCTTCCGATTTCATGTGTATAATACTGCAGTCGATAAAAATAGGAGTAGTTTTCCCAGCAAAACTCACAAATTGATGCACAAAGTTATAATAACAAGAGCCAATAGGTGGGGCCACAAAGACAACAGAAGTTGTCATCAATATTATGACCTAAAATAACATAATTTGGAAACAATTTTTAGTTTTTGAGACAGCGCTGTTAGTCGCAGCCAAAGTTCTGCATATTTTGCAATAATAATATGCTGATTAAAGTCGTTGAAGTTATATCAAATACATTCATTACATAGAAAACATTATCATACTAAAAGATCCCATTTAATTAATACTGTCGTTTCCGTTGTTATGCAGTGCCATGTGTCAACAGCCGGTATGTTTTAAAAAATATCTGGATTCCTAGAAAAAAAACTCATCCAGCCACCTTTAATAAGAAGTTAGCATTGAACGACAGTTCATTCATGCTTTTGGATAGTGGTCAAAATAGATGAAAATCTGATGCAGCCAAGTCTTGTGAATATGGAAACTGCTGGCCTTCCCAGTTCAGGGTTTGGATGGTAGACCTTGCCTTGTGCAACTTGATGGCAATCAAAAGGTATAACTCCATTCTCGGTAGACATTTCTGGCCTGACAGTTTTTGTCGAATACATGTTTCGCATTACTCATTATGTGCTGTTGCCGTTTCCCCATATCTAACACAATTATTTAAATGTTGGTCTGATACTGGAATGAACTACACTGAATAAAATGTCCAGAAATGTATCAAAGTTGCCTATGTTCCTCAATCAGTTTGATTCATCGTAAACAGAATTTACATCGGCAATGAAAAATTCGTAAAAGCGATGGTAGTGCGAACATCACTGGAACAAAGTGGAACCACAGCTATTGCCTTTGATGATCATCGCGTTTTTCCTTTAATCTTTAGAATACTTAGAGCTTTCCAAAAGTTTACCACGGTTGCATTCAGTATTCAGTAGCTGTCCTTAACAAAAACATTTAGCATAAACTGGCTAGTGAATGAGCCCTTTTTCGTTGCACGAAAGTGTCTCTATATATGTCGCTAGTATACACATAGTCAATACAGTTTTACTGGGAGAAACTGAGCCTAACGATGACGCCGGAGTCACCAGTTGTCAAGGCCTCGATGTGAGAACTTAACGCGCACCGGGGCAAGCAGCATACTGAGGCACCAGCACAAAGAGGACGAGAAGGTCTGAGGCACCGAAGACAAGATAGTTTACCAGACTTCTCAGCACGGTGACCATGTGTGTTGCAATCCGCGTATCAAACACAAACTTATACAAAGGGAGGCCGCAGAAACTGTTCGTGGCTTAATTAATGGAGGTCAGATGATAGATGAGTGGGGGCCAAGTAATTACGTATGTATGGACAAGGTAAATGATAAACCAGGACAAACTTAAAAGATGATGGATGCAAAACTATTTATTGTATTATATACGCATTTCTAATAACCTGCTCCTTCTCTATCCTGGTAAAATCCTAAAAAAACAAAATCTATGCCTTATTATTGTGCACAAATATGGGCAAAAAGCTTGAGTTGTCGACTTGACAACTAGGAGTTTGGTGCTCGAGTTTGAACCAAAAAGTATCTTCGGGTTTCTAGATGCCTCCGTTCTGAAAACTCCAATTGCAGACCTTTAATTAAATAGGGTAAGCACGTGAAATGTGTGAGACTTGAATCTAAATAAATAAAAAAAGTTTAAAATTCCGAACAAAATTGGCCATTACTCCAGACAGAAATGGAATTCAGATGTAAAGAAAAATAAATTCAATGCATTTCTGTAAATGGGAATGCCTGAGGGTTTATGGACCAATCACGGAAATCCACTTGGGTCCCAAAAGGTAATTACTCGTGCGAATTATCGAGCATATTTTTGGATCTTTAGAGCTGTCAGTTTGCTATGTATCAGGATTGATAGTTGAGTGTCCTGTAGCGGTGGCAGCAAAATCTACTCTGCGATGCTTCATATGAATCCACCCTACACGGAGAGCAGTCGGTCTAAAAAGAATACTTTTTCACCGAAGGAATCAGCGATCTCCAAAGACTAAACAGCTCAAAACCTCTGGTTTAGCACATTTTTGAGCTAAATGGTAGTAATGTTCCTTGGTTAGTGCTATAACTTTCCTATCGATAACTAGTGCGGTTGATAAATTAACCGCACATGGTGGAGCCGAAGGTTTAGGCTCACTACTTTTCCATCTATCCCCATCTAGGGTCATCAAATCGGGTGAAAAGCGCCAATTTAAAATGTTAAAGTACTGATCACCTTGCAGTCAAAACGACTACTGCTGACCCAGGTCAATGATGAAATTTAAGATACCCGATCAACAGATTCCAAAATTAATCTTGGGACGATCGCTGCGAAAAATAACGCACCATTCCACTCACACTGATTAAAAAGCAAAAGTAACAGATCCAGGCCTTCCACGATTCAAACTCCTCAATTATGATCTATTAAAGCCTCAATTTATGATTTCGCAATACAGCATATCCTACCTGGTTGTCATTAAGTTTGAGTGAAACCACAAATTAGCATCTTTATTTCTGACGGGAATAGCCATCATTAGGATTTATGAAACCAACAAACAAGGCTAATCCAATGAATCAGGTCTAAGTGAAATAAAGGCCGCTCTGACGCAGTGTCCTTTTTAATACGTTGACACAAATTTTATCAGCGTACATTAGTGTAGAAGCAGATGAAGAGTCACGTATTTGCCTAATGCCAAATTGATACTAACCCAATGGGAGTGCCCTACGGCCCGTAATATGAGCGTAGATGGACCCTGGAGTTCTGGCCATGAGACTCAATCGTCAGATAGGTGAACCCGTTGATATTTGATGAACTATCCAGCCATTATTCGCAAAAGGCATTTAAATAAGTTTGGATCAAGCCTAGCAAGACTTCTTTGGGGTCCCTTTATATTAACCTTAATAATTTGCTCATTAAAAATTCGACAGAATTATCCACGAGACAAGAAGGGACAAGTTAGTTTAATCAACGAATTAGGTTAGTCACTAAATAAAAGAATTTCCAACTAATGCAGAGGAAAATGCACAATCAACTTCGAAGCAACACATCCTAAAATCTTTTGAATTGACTAATGACAATTAAAATGAACGAAACCGAACTACCAAGTCCTGGGTTATTTGCATTTACACTGGGTCCTGATGGTGACGGAACAGGTCCAAAGAGAGTGCCAAAAGTAATTGAGAACTTTAGGCTACGTAAAACTCTCTATTAAGTGAAATTGACTATACTTCTTCAGACAAATGCCAATGCTTAGAACAGTCGTTCAATAAGTGGTAGGGGCATTGACGCGCCTAAGCGTCAGCTCTCCAGCTTCAGAGTTTTCTTGATAAGTAAATAGAACAACTGAAGTATCATTAGAAGTCTATTGACACAATTTGTGGAGCAGCAAAACTGTTTTGCAGGAAATTGGGATAGACAAAAGGACGTTGTGGTAAATCGAAGCTACTAAGATCCTAGATGTGGCAAGTTCCCTCAAAGATAAAAAAGCGAAGTCAAGGAAAACAAGAGGTCAGGAGAACATTTAATGCCCATTATTTATACAATATGTGACCAATCGAAAAACGCCACAGTAATTCAAAAGGAATTTTCGAAAACTCTGGCCTATCTTAGAACGGTTGTTGTTAGACTACGTACCCTATTGATTTAAAATACAGGTGACAAAGCGACCAATTCTAGCGGCAAATCAACCGTCTCGGATTTAGCACTCACACTGCATTTAGAAGGAAATAGAAAACACTTCAGGAGCAATTTGTCAAACTCCATGGAAATCTTTCTACTAGATAGTTGAAATCGATGGGCCAGGAGGCTTGAAACGTAGGACAAACTAGCAGTTGTATAAAGGAGCACACATTTGAGGTTCTGACGATTGAATTAGGCCAGAGAGATTGGAGGGTTTGGTGGTTCAGGGAATTCACCAACAGCCTCCCAGTAGTTGTTGAGGCGGCGATAAATAAACAATATTTGGTGAATACGATCCTCCAACTTGGTTAACTTAACACCCAAGTCGATGAGGGTCGGTGCTCCGGATAGTTTGTCCGTGGTGCTGTCATGTTCCAGCCGCTCGAAGCACATGCTGGGATTCACACGAGAAAAGTACTCGTTCGCGTAGACGCGGGCCCTAAAAAAATTATTTACAAACATAACTCTTGGTGAGACCTGGATAAATGGGACTTTTAAATACCATTGGTTCACATGACTGGAATCTACATCCATCCAGAATCTAAACCAACATGGGAACGGGCAAGAAAACTCTATTTTAAAACTGATCAACTGGCAAAGCGGCTTTCGGGATATTGTGGAAGCTCACACAGGTAGGCCTCGAAACAAATGCGACCGTGAAAACTCAGGAGTCAACGATTTTCGAAATGGACTCAGTGATTTGCGGGAGGTTTAAAAGGATTTCTATTTAAAAAAAAGACTTGGTTGTTTTCCTGTCCAGTTAAAAGACAACGAGGTATGGCGCCAGGCAAAGAACGGGAACACACATTGAAGAGACGTGTTGACGAAATTTATTGTAGACAACCTCAACACCGACATGCATGTAGACTAATTAACTCTTGACAGTGACTTAACAAACGCCACATAGGTACTAAAGTTGGAACCTTAAAATGATTTACTTGCAGGAACAAACAACTCTTTTAATCCCAATTATAGTGATGCAATCTTTACGCGCAATTTTAGGCACAGATGAAACTTCAACAACCAACCCTCACTTATCTGGCTGCAACGAACAAAATGAAATCGTGATTAGCATTGTCCTGAGTGAAATGTAAAAGCCCCACGTGGAATAAAAACAACCGGCTGAATAAATTACAAAAATCAGCGCGCGGTATTTGCAGTAACATGCGGAATGCTCGCAAGGCAAAAAATAGTGCAAGAACGAAGTATCGGCTGCAAGACGGTAAGAGCCCAAGACTAATGACCTCCTCTAATTAGTGTAAAGCATGAAAAGTTACCAACCTTTCTAGATCATGACCAAAGCACGAACGAGTGTTTTAGCCAGTATAAACTTCTGGATAGTGACATACGGTACTTAAAACATAGGGACTGAAAAATTGCGCTACAGAAACCTCCGAGTTAAGGAAGATAAGTATAAGGGTTCACTAATCGACACGGAACACACACGTTAAGGGGAGTGTTATCACTGGCTTTACGTGTTTTTTTTAGATGAACGGATAGCATTTACAGACTAGAATATTTTTGCTGGAATTAGTCTCTCCACACTTGATAATCCATGAAAATGGGGCTTTGGGTGTCAGGGATTTGAAAGTTCATTCTAAATAGGCGCAAATACTTGTTACTTACTGTGAGAAATTCTACATGGTCACAGACCTAACCAACACGCAGAGCATGCAATACCAATGCGATGGAGCCTTGACGACATCACTGCATCGTCGATAAATAAAACACATGAGCGCACGATTTTGGTGAATCAAACGGACTGTAGTGGACTGACAGCCACCTCGCATGAGTGTGCGTGTATGAGGGCCCGAGTGGACCAATGACTTACCCCTTTTGTTATTGGCCCCTGTCAGTATTCACCTGTTGCGCACGCGTACTCATACGCACACAAAGCCACTTGGCTGGTGTGATATTAATAAACGGTTGTGTTCTCTGTCGTCGCTTTTCCCCCTTTCCTCGGGTAGCTACGAGTTGTTAACAAGAGGGTTGTAAGGTAGTGCTGAGTCTCTAGCCGCTACATTTGGTGATCCCGACGTGATGAAATCCGGCTACTACACACCAGCCAAGTGGCTTTGTGGGCGTATGAGTACGCGTGAGTAGCAGACGAATGCTGACAAAGGGCAATAACAAAAGGGGTGACCCATTGTTCCACTCGGGCCCTAATGCACGCACGCACACTCACGCGAGGTGGCTGTCAGTAGTCTACCACAGGACTACTCTTTCTTTGGATAAAAAAAACAACGGATGCGCTGAGACTTACAGGAACCAAGGATCAAATTTGCCGATGGTGAGTTCCCGTGGCAAGTAACGGCAATTGAATATGATCCACTTGACCAAGTCGTCCAAGCGGTAACGATGAGGGCCGACGGCTTCGTAGATCTTACCTGGGCTGTCGGCAGCAGTGAGACTGTTCAAGATGCCTCTGGCTAAGTCGCCAACATAGACCGGCTGCTTAATGGTCTTTTGACCGCGCTCCCACAAGCAGAGGCGCAGTCTGCTTCCGTACGAAGAACGGCGCTCTGCCCAGGAAAAAACAACGTGATATTCACAAGGTTACGAAGCCGCGCATTAGACTTGGTACCAAGTCGTATTTGTTAAGGTGTGGACGGAGCCATTACAAGACTAGAAGAATTTATTAGGGTAAATAAAACAAAAATGGAGACAGTTTACGTCAAGAAGATTTAACGTATGCAACTTTAAGAAAGAGTTTCTTTATTTTTGGAAGTCATGTGTTCTTCTCCTAGCCACTTTTGTGAGTCCTTTCAATGATTACCGCATACAAAACGCCGTTTCCGGCGATCATCGCATACCACGAAACCCCAAAATCGTGTCTTGAAGCAGAAACAGGAAACGTAACTAATAATGAGGAAACAAGCAAAGTGCAGAAAAAAAACCCTTCACCAACTACAAAAGGACAATTGAGAATAATGGACTGTGCACAAATCATTGTATGTAACACAGAAAAGTAGTTGTAACGTACGTAAAGTAATCAAGTTAAGAGAAAGAATATTACGAAAAAATTCAAGTAAAGAAAACAAAGGACACGAAACCAACAATTCAGTTGACGTATTAAACACCGCCGTTCAGGGAAATTGATTTAGATTGTGATGAGATGTTGATGTTGCCGTATTGTCATTTAGTTATTCTATTTGCTGTCTGGCCCTACGAGTTCCAACGAAGACTAAGATCGTCAACCAGCTTTGCCAATCTCTGCGACAACTGCGTTGAATTGTTCCCAAAAAAGACACAAAACGAGTGGCACGTATTGAAGACTAAGACCAAATATTCAAGCTAACATCCCAAAAGATCAGATGCTCGACATTTTTTGGTTACCTATGTCAAAGAAGCCACATTAGAAGAAAACAAACGAAAACGGGTCAGTCAATACCCTAAGGTGGTTGCAGATGCGGATGACAGACGTAACTCTCGATTGGCCGGAAAGGCGCCGTTACACTATTCATGACAGAAAAGTGTTGGAAAGTCAGCGATCCCAGAGACTTTGTTGGCATTTGTAATTGTTTCCATTTTTTTTTGAAAATTAGCACTATTTCTGAATTCATATCAACTGCCCCCTTCCACCTAGCTCTCACTTAACCCGTTTTCAGGGTACCTCAGAGTATGTATAAGTGGGCGCACTGGAAGTGCAGACTTGGCCTTTGACAGCAAACGCTCCTTCCCAGAGACCCTGTTTCTGTCTCAGCAATAGTAGAGCTGGTACCTGTGTTAACCAGGGGCTTTGTCGTACGAATTTCTCTGAGCCGGTAAACATAACAATTAAACGATGTCTATTGAGAATTGTAGAACGTAAACTCAGGTGTCGTGACGCTCTCGATTAGAAGCAATCCGATGTGGTCAGTACAGATCGGACATGCTCGACCTCCGAGGAGGTGTCCAAAATATTGTTTGGCAAGATAAATAGCCAACAGCTCATAACCAAGGGTACTGTAATATCCTTGGGTAACGTAGAATTTCGCTAAGAAATGTGTGAGGGAACTGTACCGTTCAGTTTACGGTCGGCTGCAAAACGTTACCTACCGTTGAAAGTGGAGCGTCGAGTAACTGGGACGGAATGGCTCCTGATCGATGATACATGAGAACCTCTACTGTTGGAGGAAAAACCTCGCGCCACATCTGTCATGCGCGGTAGTTAATAAGCTTTGGGTTTGTCAGAGAAAGGAACCTACCTCTGAGCTAAATGACTATCAAATATCTTCTTAGATGGCGAAAGTCTTTTTTAGATGGCAGAATCTAAAACGGTAACCTAGGAATCACATTTCCAAAAGACCGATAATGAATTTGGACAGATTGCTAATGAAAGAGCACTTGCTTAAGCGTTGGGAAACTGCATCGAGGTGTTCCTTATTTTACAAACGAAGACGTCATGAATCTATGAAAATACAAAGTCCAGTCAAGTTAACAAGAGCGGCTTGAGACGACGGAAGACATGGGATGCATTCGGTAATCTCAAGGCAATTCAACTACATTGGAACGATGTGTAGTATTTCCATAACCGTTTTTGATACACACGATGGTTCCATGAATCAGATAATAGGTTCGTATCAAAAATAAGTCGGAAAACAATTCGTCATGGCTGGATCAGATGTCATATAAAACAGAATTTAAGATTTAATAACCACCGCAGTCACTATTCACCTACCGTTTCTTGCAACCACCCGAAGTGCTGATTAACAGTGTTTGATTGCCACACTCTCAAGTTATAGTAAGTGGTTGAATTCGTGCTTAGTCGTGGAGTTTGTTGAGATAAGGTGGCATGAGAAAGCTTTGTTGGAACGACCATTCACGTAGCAAGTTCAGGTATGGGCTATTGACCATTTTTACGATCTCGACATCCCACTTGCCAGGGGTCTTCGCAACGGACATTTGGTGGTGAGGCTGGTTAGAGGATCAAGTAATTGAAGACTGTTAAGTTTGACAAAGAAAATTGAAATGGTCGAGAAAATAGGCGCGACCGCAAACACCAAACGAAATTGACATTGGAAATCAGAGCTGAAAGCTCGCAAGTTCTGTCAGTAGGTTATAATGATCAACCTAATAGCAATAAAGGCAGAACGAATGTTCTTCGTTAAGTGAGGGAGGAATAATTGTTATATGGGGGCAGGAATCGAATCTGACCCGAATTCGGGCTATTAAGGCGGATAATCGTTTTTCCGTCGGCAATAGTCATCTCTACCATCAGATACCCCAGCTTTCCAACAACTTGACGTTAGCGTGCGGCTTAAGCAAGAATACGCGTTCCTATAGTGGATGGCTTTACTACCAGAGGTTTGATGGCACAAGAGTAGGTAGAGCTGGATTGCTGGTCAGATCCTCAATCAAACTTCGGAATCGTATGTTTGTCTGGTTGCTTCTTGGATAAGACGTCATATCCGCAAACTGAATGATATAATTGGAATGTTGGGACTAGTACTTGCACGCGTCAAGTCGAAAATTTGTTGAGGCAGGATATAATGGGAAGTATCCAAATGAATAGTCATAAAATGCATTATAAACATCTCATTTAAGAGTACTGGTCGCCAGCTCACTGAGGGTCCTTACTTCGTTTATTAATATTATCGTTACATGCATGGTGTGTTACCAATCAAATACACCGTCACGATAGAATATCTTCTTCCATGGACTACAACGTGTTACTTGAGATAAATATTCCGACTTCGTATTAAGGGTCATAATACAAGGCAGCACAGGAAAGTGACACCCATGTTTTGCATATGCAATTCCCATTGACAATAAAACCACCCCAGCGATACTTCTTACCTCTAGCCCCGTAGTAGCAGAGAAAGGTGTCCGAGTTGCCCCAGATGTCGGCAGGGCGAAAGATAATGGCATCAGGACGCTCACGTAGGACAGCTTTCTCCCCTAGAGCTTTTGTGCGACGAAACTCTGACGGTCTCCAAACGAATTTCTCTGGATTCTCGTTTTGCGAGAGGGCGGAGATGTGTACAAAACGCTCGACACCCACATCTTTTGACAGACGAGCAATACGGGCCGCTCCCTCCAAATTGACAGCCTCTTGAGTGAAGTTGTGGGTAGCATTCATTTTACCAATGCAGTTAATAGCAACGTTGCTGAACCGCATCGCCTTTTTGATAGCATCTTCATCTTCCAAATGAAAAGGCTATAATGTCAAATGTTGTGTATCATACTTCCTAAAGATAAAGTACTGGCAAAGATCTAAGGGATTCTTGGGACTCTGCATTGTTTCAATTAGATCAAAATTTCGCTACTTGACGTATTGAAAAATAGTCATGAAACATTACCGTAGAGCTAGTAGGGCACAGAATTTAAGTTTCTTTTATTTGCAGTGTACCGCTGAAAAAAAATAAACACGTAAAACATACTCGGCTTATGAGCGGATTAAACCATTCCGATGGTCCTAAATTGGACCATAAACACGTTACACTTACACGTTGTCTTCACGTAGAAAGGAAAAAAAATTCTACCACATTTAAATTAGTAGGTCTGCTTTCATAAGTTAAATAAATTAATGACTTAGAATAGAGCAGACTCGTAAAAGATAGTCCAATAGGACTAGAAATTGCCATTACTTGTACTTAAGTCAGTAGTCGAATAACATGAAGTCACTTGCATAGACCTACCAGGAGCAATCACAAAACGAGAGGGGCAAAGATCAGAACCGAAATAAACAACAAAATAATGCAAAACTTGACTTAATAAATCCAAAGAAACTTTGTTTGTGTGGATATAATACGTTCGATCAGTTGAAATACGTTGCAATTACGATAGAGTAGAGCTTAGTATTCTGATGAAACAAACTTACACAAAATAGAATTTGACCTAAGTCACCCATGACCTTGAGGTCTCGGACGAAATAGGGATCACTGCGGTAGGGGACGATTACCTGGGCACCCATTCGACCCAAGTGAGTAACAATGTGCTTGCCCAGGTAGCCAGAAGCGCCGAAAACTGTCACAATTAATCCGTTGAACGAAGAGCGCCCACCGGTACCACGCTTCAAATTAGTCAGTGAAATTGGTTCTGATGCATAATTCCGGCAACGCAGACGAAAGAACGGAGCTGCGATAGACGATGCAGTCACAACTTAAAGGGAAATTTCACTTTCGATTAACACTAAGTACATGACTAAAATGAAGAGACTAGGAAGCACACACATATGTTTGGGTTGCTAAAGGAAGTCCGCTACTGAATGAAACCTACAATCTAGTCAAAATAAATAATAAAATGAGTTGGCATTACGATAAGAAAGTTGACAACTGTCTGTATCACGAGCGAAGTCGGTTGTCTCAAACCCAGAGCACAACTTTCGAATGGTGCTAAAACAGTGCAAATATTTATCACGATCTAACGTTCATGTAAATATTAAGAGTTCTGATATTACAGATCACCTGGATGGCCGTAAAAACATTGCACAATGCATAATGATAATGAACACGGAAAATCGAGATCCTACCAAATAAATGCGAGGTTAGAAAGGCAGCAAAAAATCACCACCAGTCCGCGATAGTTTATAAGTTCGTTTTTTAAAAATTAAATGAGAGCAAATGCCCCCCTGCGGGAGTACATTGCAACGAGCATAACAAATATGAACAAGTGGAATTAAAAATCGAGTTGGTCAGGTACAAAAAAGAGGCGAAACTTGGTATGCAAACAGCAAGACCAAAATTTAACAAAACTAATAAGTTTTCGACAAACACTTACCACGCCACGCAGATTCACTTAAAACTGAAAAGCCAATGCGATTAAGGGCCATAACCGACCAGCTCTTAGCACACCCAAAATCAAAGACCGCGCAAGAACGGTCGCACAAAAAAAGGAAAAGATTCAGTTCATTCATTCTTTTTAACTTAGTCAATTCATTACACGTACTTTAGCTGTTTTCAAAAAAATCAGTGTATTTTTTTGATTTTAATAAGTTTTTTTTGGGATTGGATGCAGTAATGAGTGGAATTAAGAATTCAAGCAATGCTACAAGTTGGGTTTTTAAGATCTACGCTTAAATTTACCTTTTGCGCAATGTTATTTGCTGAAATTCACGTCTTCATCCATATCTAATCAGCTTGGCGCAACCTCTCACTTGTATCAAAAATTTCTATAGATATTAAAAGCGCAGCCAATGTAATGAATCCATATTCTTAAGGAAGAGAAGATATCAGAATAAATAAAACATTAAGACATTGTTAACTAAAAAGACACATATATATATTCATTTATTAGTGCAGCAAGAGTTCTAAAAAATTGATTATGCTATAAAAGTCACTCAGCACATAAATCCAAGTTTGCAAATAAATTAAACCAAAAAGAATATTGTTTGGCAATAATTATATTCAGTGCTTAATTTTGCTATCTGCATAATTGTCCAGAAACTGATACGTATTTTTAAACTAGATATTTGATCAGAAATTTGATTGTTTCTAGGTTGAATTGTGTGTGCACACTCGTTAACACTTTTAGTGTGTGATGACAACCTGTGTCCATAGATTGTTTCTTATCTAAAATGGTAATTAGTTGTAAATGCTTTTGGTTAAAGTATAGGTGCTACATTTTTAGCTGACTTTTGTAGTGCTGACTTAGTTTATGTATGTGGGAAGGCATTGTCGATATCGCAGTCTTCGAATTTGTATAGAAACCCGATGGTTATTATGTTCACAAATCAGTACTTTCGTACCGCTTGAGCACACTTCGCGGACGGAAATGGTTGGAAATATTGTTCAGAGAGTCTGTGTTTTGTATAATTAATTATCCCAAGGTGGCTATTGATCTTTAGTTTTCTTGAATGCACCTGATGATTTTGAAGGCATTTTTGAGTCGCTGTTGCAGTTTTGATACACTTTTGCATTGCTCGAGCATCATGGTTTGCTGATATCCGTTATTTAATATTTCGCTGAGTACAATTTAATATATTAAACTTCTCTAGGCCTTTACTCAATGCCACCAGACATTTTATTTCGTTGTTTGTTTTTAAAAGCATATCCTACAATTTTAGGTGAACTTGAGAAAAATCTTAATGGAGTTTCTCATTTTGTGTCTTTTGCTTATATTGTTTTTACCGTGTCGACTTATAGGACGAAATATCACTCTTGTTATCTTATTGAAAGCCAAATAAGGCTTATTGGTATTAATGCATTGTAAAAGAAATCAAAATCCTGAACTCTCCATGTATTGATTATTTTTTGCCTGTTTGATGGATTCTTATTATCGGTTTTACAGGCCTATTCATGTGTCTTTTTGGCACTGTTGCTATGGCCTGTGATTAACTTTTCATGAGGTCTACCACGTTAATCTATTTAGTTGCTCCGCGTTTTTGTACTCTTCTGTTAGGGCGCAAATCCTTCTCATCTTGAAAAAAAGATAGGCAAAGACCAGTTTCCTACCAATGAGCATTATTACGGCCTAGTAAACGTAAGTGTCTCCTTTATTTTGTTGAATTGTTTAGTTTGGCAACACCTGTTACTGCAATTCTGTCCTTCAAGCACTTTTCTTTTGCAAACCATTTCGCAACAGAGTTCTACTTTACCGACAACAAAGCAAGGGTCAAAAAAAGGAGACCCTGCTTAGTTGTCTGGCCGATCTTTTCTTCGCAGTTAGTACAAAGAAGAAGAAAGTCGGTCAAATTCCACCCAAAAAATTTGTGCAAAGGCTCAAACGAGAAAATGGTAATTCTTTTATTGAATCGCAATAATTTGATTTAGTGCTGTTTGATAATTATCTTCCCCAGGACGCTCATGAATTCCTAAACTACCTCCTTAATCAAATTGCAGATATCCTTCAAGGTAAAGGTGATTTTGTTTGTTGTAATATTACTAGCTGAAAACGCAAGCGAGGAGGCGAACAAAAAGCCAGGTGCTGCAGACACTGAATGTGCCGCTTCAGTAAATGCGCGCACGTGGATTCATGAAATTTTTCAGGGTACACTGACGAACGAGACAAGATGCCTGAATTGTGAGACCGTGCGGACAAAGGATGAAGATTTCTTAGATCTGTCTGTGGATATAAAGCAGTACACGAGCATCACAAATTGCCTGCAGTGCTTCTCAAATACTGAAACCATTCAATCGGAAAATAAGTATTACTGTGAGGTGTGTCGGTGCAAGCAAGAAGCCCAGAAAAGGTATGATGTTCTCAAATACACTAATCTTCCTATACGTCCAATTAAAACCAACTAAAAAATCCCATTTATGAAGTTCTTAAGTGAGTAAGAATTTGTTCATTAAAGTCTCGCTAATACCAGATGTATTGCTCTAATTATACTGCCTTGCCTCTTTAATCGCAATACTGACTAATAATGCAGACGACAACCACCAGTAAACCAATTATACCACGGAATTAGCTCTGTCCTTTATTAAAATGCTTACTAGTTTTCATTTTTGTCTAGTAATCGGTGTTATAACGAAAAATATACTTATTTTACGTTAACCTGTTGTAGCTATATTGCCTGATGGTCATTAACCCTGTCATTATGAGGGTTAAGAAGGAATCATGTTGGTTTTTTCGGCTTATCTATCTGCAAAATCTTGAGGCAAGTGTGTCGTGCTAACAAGTTACTAAAGTATTAGATCGTGTTCTCATTAGTATTTAAAAGCTTTTTATTAAAGATTGGAACAGGGTTCCTGAAATCGAACGTTTTCATTAAGGTTTAGATCATTCTTGTGGGAGTAGCTAAAAAAAGCAATTGTATGGGTTGTTTACTATAAACTGATTTGCTGTTGGATAGAGATGTCTTGGGATGACGGTTTCGGCCATTCATCGTGGGGAAAAAATTGCATAATGTTTGCATCAGCGGCACCGTCAAACTAGAATTTGCAGTGAGGTGTCTGGCTACTATGTCTATAAGTAAATTTTTACTAAAATATCTCTCGATTCCGCATTGCTTATTGACAAAGCTTATTTCTGCGTACTTATACACGACTTCGTCTGCAGATTTGATGTTTCCCCAAACCGATGTAAGGTACTCCAAATTGCCTGAATTAGTACGGGAGTTTTGTATTTGTGGTGGCCTTCTTCTGCATAGGTCTTGCTTTTTTATACGTTTTCTTGTTTTACCTAACATTGAGTCAAAACCTTCTTTGTATACAAAAGGAGCAAAGCTTATTTGGTTTATTATGCCTTTACAGCCTTTTCTTAGCACTTGGTAAATAAATAAATAAGGCTTTCTTCGGCGAACAGTGTATGTTGGCAAATCCGATGGTTACCACACGTTAGTCTTAGTGGGTGTTTTTTTCTTCGTTATCCTAATAGAATGCGAGTAAAGCGGTTACCCGAACTTCTGGCACTGCATCTCAAGAGGTTCAAATACTCAGAAAATGCTAATCGTTTCATCAAGCTATCGTACTACGTCCCATTTCCCCAGGAACTCCGTCTCTTTAACACCGTGAGTTTCTTTAAGTGTTATATGGTGTATCTAAGCCCAATAAGAAGAGTTATACCGTTTTTAAGAGAAAAAAAGTTCGAAAATCGTACTTAAAATAATCTCTTAATGCTTTTTTCTACATTATCTTAGCTGTTTTGTCTTTCGCACTTACCTAACTTTCACCAGAACAAATTATTAAAAAAAAATACAAAGAACTGCAGTGTTTTAACATAAACAAATTAAAATGCTTCAGTTGTTTTCAGCCTTATTATCTCCTTTAGTCGACACCTCCTCACGCATTTTATTGATATTTGCCGCGAAAGAATTGGTTGTGACTCTTACCTTCGAACAACCTAGGGATTACTGTAAATTGTTTAATTCATCTAGTTTTCTCGAAAAGTGACTTGGACTATACCACTAAAAACTAGTGCCTGCTTTTTATGGCCAGACATCAGGCGATTCATTGAAGAATTGTATGTAATTTATTGCAATATCAATGGTTATCAACTCGGTCGACTCACTGTTTTGGGTTAAATTAATGCAACCGTTTAATGCTACTGGTCATTCTTCAAAATGAACTGCTATTTGAGTGATTCTATGGATAGCTATAACGGAAACCCAGTCGTTACTCGAGTTTGTGCATCTTATGTTTTTTTTTCATGGCAAATTTGCAAATGGACACGATTTTGTTGATTTACAAGGGCGACCTATTACAGTTGCATAAAGCAATTTTTGGTCTTGTTAGCCTTCTGAACCTTAAAGGTGTATCGATTCAAGAAAATTCTTATCACTTTTGTGGCCTAGTTTAAACTCGTTGTCATCGCAAAGTTAGTTTGTTTTTTGTTATGCTGTGACTCACTTTTGTGGCCTCTATTTTGAGCCTCAGTACTAGGGCAATAAATAACTGTTTCTTTGATAAAGGATGTTTATAAAAATGTAAAAAAATCTAATGACATCCATATCTTAAGCACATTGTTCTGGAGAAATTCGAAAGGTCTCTGGGATTTATGCTTGTTCACAATGGGTTGATTTGACCAGTCGTTTTAGCACACTAAGTTTGTCCAGAATTCTAATTCACCCAAACTTCTTTACCTCACAGTATAAATTGATTCTTCCTAGACGATTTCTCACTTAAATTAGCTATTTTTGGCATCAACAGTATGGGATGCTCCTTTTCCCGTCATAAGTCGTGTCTCTTATCCTTATGTAAACATTCATGCAATTTTTGTGTTCTTGTCTACTACCCGCTAGACAGTTTTCTTTTTTGACTTGAATTCACTCTTGATTGTGCTATTAGGGCAATGCGTTTCAAGTTTATTTATATGATTAGTTCGGGAGATGTATTCCCGGAATCCTGTGGTTATTGAGCTTCTTCGGTGTGCTTTAAGTGACACTTATTTCACAGTAGTGGCTTCCTATGAGAAGGAACCACAACACGTTTAAATGTTTGAAACTTCTCATATTTTATAAACTGATTGTTTTAGTCAGATGACGCAACCAATCCCGATCAACTGTACGAGCTAATGGCTGTAGTAGTTCATTCGGGCTCAGGACTTAACCGTGGTCACTATATCAGTTTGGTCAAATCCGATGGCATTTGGCTCCTATTTGACGATGAATACGTTGACGTAAGTTCTGTTTCGCCCTTACACTATTTCTGTTTGCGAAAATGTCTTGGCCGATTCAATCAATTTCAACACCCTTTTAGACAGATTCGAGTAAAAGCGTCCGAGTATTTACCTTTGCAAGTCTCAAATTTTGTCATTATTTGTCATCCAAGAGTCAAATGAGCCTATATATGTCGTTAAATTCCATCTGTATAAAAAGGTCGAGTTACAGGTCAAGTGTCGTGGTTATTGTAGCCATAGTATTGACACTTTTAGTACGAACAAACTGTTAACACCATTAAAGCCCAAAATTGTCTTTAAAATGAAAATTTTGGGAATATGTATGTGCTCTTTTATGTTATTTCGAAATTACTAACTGTTGTCTCGTATTATCCCTTCAAAAATTGATGCGACTTACACAAAATATTTCTCTAATTCTGATTTTGAGAACTTGTCCAAAGTTAGCTCTATAGCCTTCCTTTGATTGCTTAGCTAATCTCACTTCAAGCAACAAGAAATTGTTTGCTTCTTCATAAATATATCGCGTTAGGGATTGTGGAGTATTATTTAGTGCTTTTTTCTGGAAATTTGGAATCATTTTCGAATTAAGTCAGTGCCAAAAAGCTTGGTCCGCATCGCATTTGACAACAACGAAGGTACATTTTAGCATTTACATAAAGGTAACATTGTTGTGATTCGGTATGACGACAAACAATTTCTTCACTTGTGACTGTTAACACGCAAAAACATTGGAGTGATATACTCTGTGCACTTATGGTTGGATAAACCTCGGTGAAATTTTCCCCACACTCACCAAGGAAATAAATGTCCATTGCATGCAATCTGCTTGATTCCGTTGGTGTTTGGATGGGGTGTTTTGTCCCGTCACCAAATGTTCTAATTACGTATTTATTTCAAAGTGGTAACCAGGTTGATTAATTCATTCAACGTCTTAATTAAAAAACTTAACCATTTTCGGGCACAAAAATCAATGCCTTTCCGTAGCGATGACACGATCTTATTAGCTGCAACTATTGGATACAGCATTACAGTCAGTACTATTTAATTTATGGGCAAAAATATCTCGAAGGTCAACATGGTTTATGTTTTTTTTTTCATCTAAGGTGTCCAACTAATTTGTATTACTTTGTTTTTTATTGTAAGATTCAGTGATCTAGGATCGCTCATGCTAACTACGCGTTTCTCAAAAAACTAATGTTGCTCCTCGTTATCTCTTAGGTGTAGCGCTTAGTCCCTGGCCATCTGTAGATGTCCTCATTTGTAGCATCCATTACTCAATGCTTAGCGCTTTACGACTAAACATCCCTGGTGGCGATCAGCACGTTTTAGCGGACTGTATCCAAGCAAGTTTGCGGCGTCATAATCAGCATGAGCGAACTTGGATTCAATCGATTCTTTATTTTTGTTTACGCCCCACGCAGTGACTTTCATTCCGTGACTTAAATGTTAGTCGTCCACACTTCGGCTGAAGCCTCGTCACCCAAAGGGAGTAGCTTGAGCAGTTCAGCCCCCATTGTTTTGGTCTTCTTGTTCTGTCCTGAACAGGTTACTTATGTGTAGGTCCACTTTGTGGTGCCAGTCCATTATCGGTAATTCGGGCTCGGTTATCAATCTCTTTACTATGAAACAAAGACTGAAAATTTTAATTGCCACTTTATAAAGACGGATTTAGCATGGTCCATCAGGTCGTTTTAAGCCATGCATTTCGGTGTACTTTTTGCGTGACGTGGAAGTCCGCTTTCTCACATAGTTTCATTACCGAATTGAGGACCGACGGACTTGCATAACCACGCACTTCCCAAATAAAAACCCGAAGGGTAAAATCAATCCGTTCCATTCAGATAACAACAGAATCTAATGAGTCTGTGTGCCATTCAAGTGTGCACAAGCCTACGGACCTGTGCGTGAAGTGGTATCGGGTCGCAGAGTGGAGGCTAGGGCAAAATGCTGGCTAATTAACCACTTGGTTGAGATTTACTGTGCCGTCCCATCACAATCTAACCTTACTGAATTCCTTTTGACGTCTTATAGAAAATTGACCCGGCAAACATTTGTGATTTTTTCGGAACAACGTCCGATGCCTCAAAGACGTCCGATTCAGCCTACATTCTTTTCTACCAAGCTTGTCATGCACCGCTTTCTACAGATGCCCCTTCTGCACCTCTTTCAACGACTCCCCATGAGAGTGGACTGCCAATTCCGTACACTACAAACGCTATACGATGACCTCATACATTTCCATCGCAGTAACTGTACATGAACTTCATCCGGTGAATAATAGTCCTTTTTATCCACCTCAAACTCAATGAAGCGTCTTTCATAAGCCATTATTCGTCTGGCTACAACGTGTCTTTTTCATCCTCATTGGCATTTACATGTCACCTGTTATCGAGACGTATAAAATTTTCTCCACATTCTGTTTGGTTTTGTCAAACATTGGCGTTCAGATGGATGCATTATCGCTAATTCTCATTAAACAAACAGTTAATTTATGTGCAAATACCCTCTTACAAGCCCCTTTTTCTTTATCAAAAGTATTATCCACGACCATCAGAGATCTAGGGCGTGAAACATGAGTTCATTAAACAGCCTTGTGGTGGTCGGCAACTTGTGTGTTTGTTTTAGGTGGACCATGATCAATAGAGGATGGGTGGAAGATGTAGACATAGTCCGGCAGTTGGCAAGGAAGAGATGGCATCCAGATATCGTCAACTGGTGTCTTGGAACATTTCTGTGACAATTACTGTTCGAAGTTAGTCCTACTGAGTCTGCGATTCACGCTAGGGGCTGGGGCGTTAAGATAAGAAGTGGAAATGGAGAAGTTGCAAATGATAACTGCGAGATTCATTGGTATTTACCGAAGAAGAGGATGCAGCATCGATACTCTTGAAAGCTAGCTTGAGATCCGTCCTAATTATCAGTGGCCACGTCGTCTCCTCGGAGGACATATCTTGATTTTACAGTTGAAAAATTATTTTTATATACCGACGGCAGGCCAGATCCTTTCTCGACTACAAGCTAATTTATACATTTTGATAAATCATGCTGGGCTGAGGGAGCAATAACACGACATAAAATTGATTTTAAACGATTAAAAGGAAATGCTATATTTTTGAAAATATTTAAGCTCAAAGGACATTTTGACAAAACAAGCTAGTAGGTTGCATTTGGCCAATTGCCAAAACTTGTTTTGTTCAGATAAGAAATTTACTAAAAAAGGTAATGTTCTATTCTTTTTGTGCTGGAAAAAGTATTCTTTGGTGAGTTATCGATCATAAACGGTGACAATTTCGTTCTGGGAAGCAAATTTTTGGTTTACAGATAATGGACTAGAAGTTGTGGGTAATCCCACTTTTGGGGCGGTTATACCAAGGAAATACATTGACATGAATGTGCAGTTACCACCCTAGCTTCGCAGTGTAATTTGATGGTATGACAGCATCTGAGTTATTCATTCAAATTTCTAAAGCAAAATCAGGTAAATTCGGAAGCTTTAATAAATTTCCTAGCCATAACCCGCAACGTTTTAAGCACGTCAGGAAATTCTTTATTTGCTGGATATTTGAGCGGTGTACCATCTTATTATTTTTTGATGATTATATTGCAATAGAACATTGCGGCATGGCATGATGCACATTCAGATATAATTTGTTTAGCCTAAAGGCCAAAAAGGGTGATAAATCATTGTGCTAGCATGTATTGGATGATTACATATAACGGATTTTTTGCCCTGGTGCGGTTGTGTCTCTTTATGGTGAACAATTATTTAACGAATTTACTACCACAGTGTAGTAACTTTTACTAATTAAGTCAGTAGGCAACATGTGCGTACACGAGCACATAAAAAATGTGATAGGACATTTAAATGACAACGAATATCAGTTAAATAAATACTTGTATTTCAACTAGACATCTTAACAAACGCAAGTGCTCGTCAAATACTTATTCAGGCACTTAATTACCAGGATCTGTCTTAAAATGTATAAAACTGCACAAATTATATTTAGTGTATTTAGTAATTTTTGCGTGGTTTTAAGGTTTGCACTTAAAATTGTCCTTTAACTGATCTCAGTGTGCTTTTGTGTTTTAATACATAAAGCTGCATCATTTGTACCTCGAAAGTTACACCGCGCGTATTGTTCTTTATTTCTCTACGATGCCATTCTGAAAATCTCCATCCTTACCTTAGTTCAACAGATTATTAAAAAACGACGGTCTTTTTAAAGTTTATACTTGTACATTTTTGGATTGGCAATGTCGCGGCGTTCTCAAGTCAGGGAAGACCAGTTTGTTGGCCCATACCGCTTGGAGAAAACTCTGGGCAAAGGGCAGACTGGTACCAGTTTTTAATTTACTTAAATTGACTTGGTTTAAGGTTTAGTAAAAATGGGTGTCCATTGCATTAGTGGCAGGAAAGTAGCTGTGAAGATTGTCAATCGGGAAAAACTCAGCGAAAATGTTCTGCAGAAAGTTGAACGTGAAATCGCAATAATGAAATTGATTGAACATCCAAATGTTCTTGGGCTATATGATGTTTATGAAAACAGGAGATATTTGTAGGTCTGTCTACGTTTTTACTCATCACCAGGTTTCTTATTTTGGAACACGTGTCTGGAGGGGAGCTATTTGATTATTTGGTGAAAAAAGGTCGGCTTTCAACCAAGGAAGCTCGAAGATTCTTTAAACAAATTATATCTGCCATTGACTTTTGTCATAGTCACTGTATATGGCAAGTGCTGTGAAGTATTCGATTACATATTTTAATTTTTTTCAGTTCACGTTTTGAATGATTTTATGTTTATTGAATCTTAGGGCTATCAAACTGTAACTACCTAGACCAATTGCAACACGAATTCACTTTTTAAATTTATTTTGTTTTGCACGGTAAACTTTACACCCGATATTAATTTGATGTTATTTAGTTATTAGAATATGCATTCCGACGATAATATGGTTTTTAGCTGAAAGATTACTTAGGCCATAAGTTACTAGTGCAGATATATGAAAAATAAACTTATCATTAAACAGTCTCGACTACAGTTAGTAATGTCTATTGAGTATTAAAATGAGACTGTCATGTGCGTGCTACTTAAAGTTAGTACAGTTATGATTATCTTAGCCTATTTTGGGAAATCTGATAAGTGGGAACTCCTGATTACGCTCTTACACCACAGACGAGCATTTCTAAAAATTGGACGGAATGTTTTTATTTCGTTTAAAATAAATATAAGCAATATGTCAAATTTACCTAAATCAATGTTTATCATTTTGCGTATTGCTTTTAGTTTATGGAAAAGTTAAACAAAAACGCATTTTAGTGTGCTTTGAGCCAATATGCATTAAACCGACCACTCTGCTGGCGTACAGGCTTTGAAAAAAAAATGCACATTGATTAGTGGGTCCTGAAGTTTGAAAATGGACTTACCAGATGGAGAAAAGTCTAGTCGTCTATATTACCTGGGACCATACTAGTACCCTTGCAAAAAGTAGAATTGAATTTAAATTTTAATATTCAAATGTATCTTTACTCAACTTCCTGCACACCAATGGTAAGGTACTGTTTTATTATTAGTATTTTGGACTCAGCTTAGCCTATTTTGAACTCTAGGGTTATTTTTTCAAAGAGCTTGTCTGAATTTTTGACCCAGTACACAAATAAATTCCATTTCCTTTCGTAATTATACTCTTTTATGAAACTTAATTTACCGTCTTCTTTTCATGCAGCAGTTTATTCGAATAGCTGTTAAGGAGTGTGAAAAAGTGTATCTTACTGCAAATAATAAAAAAAATACCGCCATGTTAATTTACCGTTATGGATTCAATATTGGTTACAGCAACATAATACCGCGGCTTTTTTAATTGGCTTGATAGTTGGCAATATTTTTATTAATTTATTATCTAAGTTTACTGAATAGGCTTTAAAATATATGTACTACTGGTGTCCAAGGGTTCTACAATTATTCTTTACCCTGGTATGCTTTATCTCAAATGCTATATTTTTGGTTTGGTTATTAGTGTGATCATATTTGAAAGTTTTATTAATGAAGGAAGGTAATTGAAGGATCCAAGTGATGTCTCACGGATTATGTAAAGCAGATGTATTTTTCATGAGTAAGCATCCAAATCCTTTTTCATAAGACCTAAAATATTCTAAAACGTTGGTGTTACTCTCCTTGATTTCAGTCATAGAGACCTAAAACCCGAGAATCTTTTGTTGGACGATAAGCTCAACATCCGAGTAGCTGACTTTGGGATGGCTTCATTACAACCGGAAGGATCCCTGCTAGAGACGAGTTGTGGGTATGTCTGTTTTTTTCAAACTAACGGCTCTTTGCCCTTTACCTTACAATTAAAGATGCACACTTAGTAAAGCGCCAGAATGACGTTCTATTGAACTGCTAAATTCCTAACAAACGATTCTTTGTATGCTTTTTTAAAATTTTATAGCTACAACAATACACATTATGTACCTATGACTCATTAACTAAATTCTAAAATTATAAATATTCATAGACACTTCACATTTTTGATGGATGTTTGGAATAAGTAACAGAATACATTAATAAACCGACTAATAAAAAACGATGATCATCCAAACTTCATATCAATACTGTCTCAGTAAATTGATGAAAGGAAGTTACTTTGGTATGCACAAACGGCCTTTTGTTTACATAAAAACTTCTGCTATTGTTTTGATATTCATTTTAGGATTTGATATACGCTGCTGCTAGTTTAACCTAGAAGTGAACTGTGTGTTTTGATCTGGAAATATTAGTTTATACGCATTGTTGATCCATAATTCAAAAACAAGCATTTACGACTGATGTTACACATGTTTTGATTTAAGAAAACAAAAATATCATCTCCCTCATAGACATATATTAGGTTAAGTATATGTTGTCAATTGTTCAACAGAAAACTTATTAAATTGGTTACAAAGTTTGACTTTGCACTACAAAAACGACCTTGATTTCTTGCCTAACCGTGTCTGGGGATGGCGTAAAATGAAGACTACACCCTCCACATATAAATTAAACGCTTGACTCTGGACGTGGACTTTTGTTGGTGGGCTATATACATTGGAAGTTCTATTGCAAATTGTGCATTGTAATAAATGCATACAAGAAATCTGTAGGTAAACGTGAATTAAATGACAGAGGTAGGGCGAAATCGGCACTTATAGGTTTGAAGTTTTTGATATAATAAGGCTTTACTTTATTGTGGGGATAGTTGAAGTTTTCATTTTCCTAATGCATTAACATTTCCACCTTCGTTTGTCTTGTGGCTCCTCGGATTAAACTGGCAGAAGCTAATTCGGCGGCGTCGTCACATTTAAAGCGTGGTAATAAGGCATTTCATCAGTTCTGGAATACTTGGATCAACCTAGCCTTTTCAGGTTCCTTGGATTTTGTGTGATGTCAAAAGAAGTCGGGTTTAAACTCGTTAATTTTTTTCAAAATAAATATTTCCCACGATTCATTGTGGGCAGCTGCATTGATTCTTTGCAATGAGAAAGTGATAAATAGCCCTCATCTGCTTTGATTGGTTTACGTGGGTTCGCTAGGTTTTCAAACAAACAAAACGCTTCCCCTTATTAAGTCGAAAGTTTTGTTTGATATTTTAATGCATTGTACGTCTAAGTTTTTATTCTGAAACATGTTGCTCACACTTTTTCAGATTTTGATCCATGAACCCATTTAACTTAATCAATACTGTGTAATGTTTTAATGAGTATAATTTATTTCATAATATCCGCTGGAAACCCATTTTTGCTACAAGAAAAGATTAATTATTAAATATTTGAAGTATTTCATACCACACAAGAACTTTCTAGTCTCAAAGGCAGACAACCTACACGACATTAAGGACGTAGTGATTCATGTCTAAATTAAACTAAAGGTCGAATATGCCGGTTAGACCTAAAAGAATTGGTTTATGTGCATTTTATTATTGCTTACTGCCAAAAAAATAAATTTCACAAGATTTTTTACTGTTCTTACTTTAAACAAATCTGTATTTCTTCATTTGGATAGCAGTCTATGCGGCTTACTAGATGTATTTGTGATTCTGAATTTGCTAATGAGTGTCACAGGTTAAACGCAAACTACAAAGGCTGCCTGAGTGGGACTAGAGTTTTATTTCCCATAAATAACTTATGTGAACAACGCCAGAACTCTAATTATATTAAAGTTGGTTAACCGTGTGTAGATAAACCTATTATGATTGTTCAAAATTTTATCAACTTTGGTGAACAATTCACTGTTGAACTTCCAGTTTAATATTGCCAAGTTATGAGGTCTTCATAAATTACGTTTACCTTGGGTTTGTTCTATAAACTTAAAAACTATGCTTCTTGTGTTGCTACTAAATTATTACTCTTAAAAGCTGAAGCCTATTTTAAATTTGCATACTGTTACAAATCACTGATTTTGTACAAATTCAGGTCGACATCAGAGTCATCCAATCAGAATATCGTTATATGTTAAAGTATTGCCATTTTGTTATTGCTACAGGCCTTCCTAGTAGAGGCGCATACATTCAAACTTGCAAAGTCACCATTTGTATTTTAATTTAGAAAGTCGCAGAGTTGACATCAACATTTTACTAAATTCTATTCGATAAATGCTGACATTAACCTCAGAACTATGTTAGCAATTATTTTTAAAGCTTTTAAATCATTTTAATTAAATGTGTGATGTCTCCTTGTCTTTTCCAGACACAGTTGGCAAGTCGCCACACAATAATTTCAGTTCATCGCTGAATCAATATTTAGAAACCAAATCAAACCAGAATTGTATCAAAACGTATTTTAATGCTCAGATCAGGATCAGGTCTAATTAGAACTAAAAATTCAACCTGAATTACCATATCTTTCATTGCAATAAATAATCATTGGGTTAATGCATTCCTATTACTTCAAAAAATCTCGCTTAAGGTGTTAGTAAGTTAGCATTTTTAATACAAGTATGTGAAGGTATCAAGCATGTTTGCATATCAAGGATTTGCTTCTCTTTATTAGCTACTGAAACACTAGCTACTAAACCAAAGAAAAGTATATGAAACTTTGAATTTTATCTAAGGAACATCTAAAAATACGTGTTTCGTTGCAACAATATTTCCTCTGGATAATTTGGACCTTGCCAAGCCTAGTGTTTAGTGTTTAATTACATCATTACTTTTCTCGTGACTGAGACGTTACATGTGAACTTGTAAAAGAAATAGTTTGTCTTAACATCATTGATTTTTAGCGGTGCTTGAGCACAGCTAGGTGCATAGATAGTGTTCTTGGCGAGGAATTTTTACCCCCATACCGTTCGCTGGCACCGGAAATGGTTTTCCTACCTTCGCGTACTTAGGTGTCTTTTTGCAAACATTCTCCTGAACTCAGTGTGGATAACTAGTGCTCTTACTTGACTTTATTTCGAAGTAGGCAATTTCTTTCGAAGACTTGCGTGATTAATTTAATCATACATTATATTATATACTGCCATACATGCCATTAATCTAAGTATCATCTGTTTTCGGATTAATGAACATGACGATATTTTACCTTAAAGTTGCTTTCACTGAAGCATTGGCTGCAGCCTAGCTAAGCCAAAATCAAACGTCAATTTTGCATTATTAAGTAACCGCTTTTAAAGCAGTACAATTTCAATAATGAAACTAGTTATTATAAAAGAGGACTTAACTAAAAGCAGTGCGAAATGTTACACAGAGAAATAGTTCACTCATTTGTACCATT